TCTAGGCTCAAACAGGCGCCCTTCTCCCTTTTCCTACCCAAATATGTAACCTTCCCCTACAAGCAAGGTTGTCAACCCGCGGGACCCGGACCCGGTCGAGCTAGTGGGTCAAGGGTTAATGGGTCAACCGTTTTAGCCCGGTTTGGTCCGAAAATATGGAAAAAGTCATTATATTGTAGTTATCCTCATAAATTATATCAAATCTTATCTAACATATGAGTTATAACATATAATATTACACCAAAATAACATATCGTATATAGATCCAACATATAGTGAAAATTCACACACACTTATATAACATAAATATTCAAATGTTCAACTTAGCATTCCAAAAATTGAGCTAGGCGAAAAGAAAAATCAGAAAATAGGCGCATTTCGCAAACCAAAGAAAAAAATGATACAATTTGACCTCCAACCCGGTACCTTGTAGCGGTCGGCCCGGCGGATGCGTGCGGCCCATTTTTCTCACCGAGTTAGGGTCAAAGTGGGTCGACCCGTGGGTCAACCCGCGGGTTGACAACCTTGCCTACAAGGAAACAATAACCAAATCTTAAACAACTAATATAAAAAAAAACCAAATCCTACTAGAACAATGAAAACAATAAAAAAGACTAATAATAATAAAATATTATAATTACTAAAATAGAAAAGATATGCAAGCCCAGAAAATATCCTAATTGTTAGGATGACTCGATTCTCGTAACAGTCGCCAAATCGGAGATGATGACAGAAAATGAGGAATGCATGGAAGGGGGATCAGAGAATTTATAAAGGTCCTCTAGTTCAGTACCTGTAAAGAGCACATATATCGTCTCGGATTACAATGGAGGTGGAATCGGAGTTGATGGTAGAATACGAGGAAGAGAAATTTGGGAATCATGACTCCGAAATTTGGGGGTAAGTGTGAAAGAGGAAAGTTATGTCGGGAGTTACAAATTGAAACTCATGATTTCCCAAAATTTCAGTCATAGAACACAAAGGAATAGGGGTGTGCAATGGTCCGGTCCGTACCGGACCACACCGGACCAAACCGTTGTTAAGACCGGACCGGACCAGACCGAGTAAAATGCGGTCCGGTCCTTGGTCCTAATGAATTTTACAATTACTGAAGAAATGGTGGACCGAGCTCATATTTGGACCGGACCGAACCGGACCAAATGGACCAAATGCAAGAATGGTCCGGTCCTTGGTCCTAACATGTCTTTCACTAATGGACCGCGGTTCTCATGAGTTTGGTCCGGTCCGGACCGAACCGAACCGTTGCACACTCCTACAAAGGAACGACTGGCGGAGTAAAAGATTAACGACTCGCAGAGAGGGAGGGAGACGGCGGAAGCAATTAATTACCTGAAGTCTTTCTAATCCTGACGAGAAACGTCATTATGCACCTCAATCAATGAACTTCGGATCGGATTTCAACACTTCCAAGAGAGAGGTCACAGAACGAGGAGGATGATGCATAGGATCATGTGGATTTGATCAGCGACGGAGAAGTTCACCAGAACTTTTTGTTGCTTTCACAAACTGACAGAGAGAGGGGTCGAGGAAGACAACGAGAATGTTTATAGGTTTCGTTTTCGATTTATGTTCCTGGGGAGAAAAAAAAATAATTAAAGAAATGGACTAATTAAAGAAAATGAAAATTCATTAAGAGAAAAATAAAAAACAAAATCGACCATCCCTTATTAGTTAGGCGGGTTTGGGTTTCGAGTAAGAAACCAATTCGTATGACAGCCACATTGACCATTTAAGAGTAGTTGCATGCTATCACATTTTTCACTGCGGAACTATTGTCTTGGTCAAGCTAATGGTTATACACGCCACCATAGATCGTAACTTCAAGGATATTAAAGTTGTATAGGAGTTTGTACGAAAAATCAGTGGTATGATATACTATATTCCATCGATGATTTAACTATGATTTAACGTTTTCATACTGCTAAAAACCATCAATACGATACGCTTTTGCAAACACAGCATAATTTAGAGCATAAAAAAGTTAAATCTGTTAGTTAAGGGCATGATTGAAAAAGTTGGATAGGATTATCAAAGATTCCTAAAAAAACAGAAAAAAGTTGGATAGGGCCAAAAGTGTGTTTTATTTAATTAAACATGCTAAAGGCTGTCCATATATAGGCCGCCACGTCATCTTAAGCCCAACAATTTTTTTTTTTCTGTTATTTCATGATTGGACTGTCACACGTATATGTCTGCAACCGTCGTCACGGTATCACCCTTTTTCATATAATTTTTGCATTTTTTCTGTCAAACATGACGGACGGATATTCCACGGAAACGAAGTTCTGTATTTTTTAGTGCCTTTCTTTTTTGCAGATCTGAATTCTGAATTTTTTTTGCAGCTTACATAAAAATCTTGTTAGATTCAGACCTTGTTTGATCGATAAATGGTTAAAGGAATCATCTATTGATTTGTCGATTTCTCTTTCGAACTGCTGCTGCGACTTGAGAGAGGAGAATTCTCATTTCTTGGCTGTGTATTAGGGTGGTTTCTCTCCGTCGGATTTTATGCTTCTAATCTGGCAGCATGAGGAAGAAGCTCGATACCCGCTTCCCGGCTGTAAGTTCTTCTAAGTGGGTTTCAATTCTTCGATCTGAAATTCTGTGTCTGTTTGGTTTGCCGTGGAAAAGATTGTAGTTTTGACTTTTTGATCCATTTGTTGGTGTTGCGATGTTTGGCTTGCCCATTTCTGGGTTTTTTGTCTTCATTTCGTGGTTTAATTTGGTTTTCGGCTACTGGGTTGTTAGGGATTGGGAGGAAATGAGGGAAAGCAACTGACTTGAAAAAATGAAGAGGGAGAAGATTGAGATGATTTGTGACTAATTTGAATTCCTGCATAGTTTGCCTACCTTGAATAATTGATGATTAGAATTTTACCTGGTTCTGTTCTCTTGCTCTGCTTACAGCTATTCTGGGAAGTGTAAATTTTGATTGATTGATTATTCTTGTCTTGGTACATGCTAGTAGGGGTTAACTGCTTTTCTATGTATCTGTCTGTTTTTCTTTTCCGAGTTTTCTTAGGTTGTCTTGTTCATTGATGGGCTTTCTGTGGTTATTAATTGCATATACTTGTTCAGAATGGGAAATAGATGGGATGATTTAGGGCTTTGTAAGTGAAACAGTTGTTTGATGCGCTATTCGATTCAAAACTAGAGAACTGAATTGTGGTGGTGAATTTAAGGCTTCTATTGACCTTTGCCACTAGCTTTTATAGCGAAGTTTGTAATCTCTAACTTTTGTTTTTGCTGTTTACCTACGGTAACAGAAGACTGTCTCTTATGGGAAGTTTAAGCTCATCGTGTCTGCTATGGTTTGCTTACACATAGCTTGTGTGTTGTAAAGCTCATTGATGAGTCGAACTTGGTCATGTTTCCCCCATAATGGTATGGGAAAATGTTCCAGTCCCATTAGCACATATGTGCTAGCAAAACCAGTAGATTCATCTGTCAGAGTACTTATTCTGATTTATAGCTTGAGTAGCTTGGAAAATTGCTCTCAGTACGTTGAACCTGTGTCTGGCCCAATTAGGTTTTGTTCATTCAGCTTCACGAGAGCAGTTTCGTTTCCTGTTATACCAAAAGCAATTCCCATTTGTACCTCTCTCAGATTTCATGCTATTCTAGGTCATATCTTGCATCTTTTGCTGCCACTCGTGCTCTCTTAACTGGTGCATTTAGAACTTCTCTCATTACAAATGACTCTCGACCATCTTTCGTTCGACCATACTTTTGCTGTCACTCTTGCTCGCTTAGCTAGCAGCATTAAGTAGATTAGTAGTGGGTCATTCTGGATTTGACATCAACATCTATTTAATGCTGGTGTTGTATGCTTGTGAATTAAGACAACACAGCAGTTGAATTTCTTGAAGCTTTTGTACTTACTCAGATTTGGATTACTTCATTTGGCTTTACTTGAGTCCTCAGAGATTGATGCTCACTTTGTAAATTTAGTGTGTGTGCAAACATTATTGACTCTCAGTTGTGTTTTTTGGGTATTGTGATCTAAGGGGCGTCTATTGATTTTGACAGGCTCGCATAAAAAAAATAATGCAAGCTGATGAGGATGTTGGCAAGATAGCCCTTGCAGTACCTGTCTTAGTTTGTAAGTAATGAGACATTTGTTCTAGTGGTTTCAAAAAAAAAATCAGCACTTTTAATCCTCATATTCTATGGATGTCTGTGCAGCTAAAGCATTGGAATTATTTTTGCAAGACCTTTGTGATCGAACTTATGAAGTCACCCTTCAAAGAGGAGCAAAGACCATGAGTTCACTCCACCTGTAAGTAACCAGCTTGCTGTTTAATCGGAGGAAGTTTGATGTTTATTTGGCCAAATGAATGGATTGGTGATAGCATGTCATAGCAATGTAATATTTGATCCTCCAGTTATTTATCATCTGACACTCTGGTTTCTTCTGGTAGCCCACTGGCAGTGTTGTTAGGAAAAACTCATTTAACTAAGAGGCTACTTTGTGCCTTCTTTTTCTTTTGTCAAAGTTTGCATCTTTGTGAAGATCTTGTTCATTAGAAGGTTAACATTATGGTTTCTGCCTCTTTAAAACTTCCTCTCTTGCTTTTGTTTAGCTCAAAGATTCAGTTATCTAAATTTGTACAATATGTCTATTTATCTGTCTTTGATGCAGAAAACATTGTGTCCAGAGCTATAATGTGTTTGATTTTCTGCGAGAAATTGTTAGCAGGGTTCCTGATTATGGCCATGGTCATGGCCACCCTGATGCACCTGCAGATCATAGAATCCTTCATAAGAGGTCAGTAGCTGATAAGTTTTTTCCTGGTTTCTATTATCTTCTCAGATGGGATATTCAGAGCAACGTGTTTGTCAGATGGTTGACTATATGTGTTTCGACAGGAAGCCCATTATGGATGAAGGCAATGAGAGCGATGAAGAATTGAAGAGAAGCAGGATGGTAAGATTGTCAGCTTTAGTGTTCATGGTTTGAATTTAACACATTCAGTGCTGGTTCTCTCATCAATTTTTCCTCACGTCGTACCTGGCCAATATCTCCCTCTACTTCTATCATCCCAAAGCCTTATGGGTCTGTTTTTGTTGCTCTTAGCTTTGCTAGTTTGTGGAAGTGTTTTTGTACTTAATATGTGGATGTTTGTTTGCTTCCATTCTAGCATGATGCGAGCCACACGGGTGTTAGCAGTAGAGGTAGGGGTCGTGGGCGAGGTAGAGGCCGCGGTCGAGGGGCTCGGAACATGGAGAGGGAATCTGCTCATCGTGAGGCCGACTCTGAAGCTGCTTGTACAACTCCACGTGGCAACAACCCAGTTCCTGGAATGATGATAGACGACGTAATGGATTCAAAGGAGATGTTGACAAAAGAGCCTATGGTAGCAATTACGGATGGTACAGCCGATCAACCTGAACGGAACTTCGATCTTAATGCTGAGGTCAAGGACAATGAAGATGTGAAAGCTGCTGCAGCTGCGACATTAGCAGCTTCTTCGTCAGCCTTGGGTCCTGCACCTACCAGCCAAACTTCATCCACGGCGCCAGAAACCACCACCCGTGAAGAATATCCAGGTTGGTCTCTTTCAGAGGTGGACAAGATGGCTATTGACCCCTTACAGCTGGCACAGCTGAGCACGAGGATGGATGAGGAGGAAGAAGACTACGATGAAGAAGGATGATCTTATAGTGATGTCCCTTCTCGTTACTTGTTATTGGTCTCGCGTAGTTCTTAGAACCCATCTGCTAACAGGAAAAGCCAATGATATCCCAGTAGGTTCTGTCGACTATCTGAGAAGAAGACAGCAGTTTGTGTAATGTAAGAAAGTCTAATGTTAGGAGCAGCTAGCCATCCATCCAGCATCCAAGATGGCCTTCCTCTGTTAGTATTATTGTGTTCATCTCCTTGGTCGGGAGTCGTAACTGGTCCAGAATCTGTTTGACGGAGGTTAAAGAAGCACAGAATTGGATCGAGAAGAGTATCCTGACCAATTAAATCCAGTACTTGGATTCTATTTCGCTCCGATACTTTTACACAATGCCATAATAGAAACGCTATATAGCATATATCCCATTACACGTTCAGAAGCCATAAAGCTGTTTGAAGGTTTCTACAAGATCACACTCTTGAACATAAACACATTACACATATACAGTCTGCCCATATATTTACATAGATCAGTGAGTTGGCTCCATACGATTGAGACGGAAAGTGCCTTCAGTGGTCTTATGCACCTCAACCTTCATCTTCTCTTCAGTGGTTCCTCTCTTCACCTTGAGCACCATATGGAATTTTGCAGAATCATCCAGCACCTGCAGCATTCCAAAATCAGCACCCTCTCCCTAAGACTTGAAAATGCAGTTGCCGACAGAAGAAAACCGAAGGTACAAATGAGAAGCGGAACGAACAAACAAACCTCGGCCTTGGCGTCGACAACTTCTTGAAGCTCGTAAGGGAACAATGAGTTGGAGCGCTGTTGAATCGCCTTCAGTGCATGATCAGCTGCATCTTGAACCGCGGGGTCATGAGAAGCCACATCCTTCAGCCCAGATCCATGGCATTCTGAAATACGCACTACCAATCAGAGCACGAGTCTGAAAATGAAATCTTTTTCTCTACCCTATGTGTATCACTTCAACACCATCTCAATGATTCCATAGTCGATGAGAGGGAAACCCATCAATCAAACATTTCATGGATTTGGCAAATGGGTTTTTGAAGCTAACCTTTCTTGACACCGAGGTCAGAAGGGGTGAGTTGAGGGGAATCGCCAGCGTGCTTGAACTCCTGCAGTTCCTGGAAGTTCATCCATGGCTTCACCCACACTTTGGCTTCGTAGAGCTTCTTCTTCCCGGCATCAATCGCCTCGATAACCAAGTGATGAAGCGTCCCAGCAACTACTTGCTCTTTCGCTTCCACAACCCTCAGGAACTCCACAACCGCATTCTGATTTCCCACCATCAAACAAAGTGGGGTAAAAAAAAAGAGGAGCGATTTCATTCACCAAACAAAGAAGGCGACGGATAGAAACAAATAAAAGACGGAAAGAGGCGGATCAATCGGAGGCTCACCTGCTTCTTGTTGTGCTCGTCGACGGCGAACCGGGCAATCCCCTCGATTTCGGCGCTGTTGGCGGAGCCTGCGGGGGAATCGCGAACGCCTCCGAGGATAGGGGTAGCGGCGGCCATTTGATCGTGGTGGTGGTCGGAGACTTGGCAGAGACTGGCAATCGCAGAAGAAGAGGCAGAGATGAGTATGAGAAGCGTGAGAGTGAAGAGTGGGGTAGTGCGGAGATCCATGGAAACCGGTACTCCTTTTATAGATTTTTCTCTATAAAACGTTAGCGCGTGTTTTTGGATCGACGGAAGGAACGGAACGGAGGAAGTAAAACGGCTGAATCGCTAAATGTCGCACTAAGAATTGCTAAACATCGCCCTAACTAAAATATAAAATTACCTACATGCCCTTAAGCAAAAACTCAAAACAAACAAGCCCTTAAGGCAAATTCAAAAATTCATTCTCCCTCCCCCTCCCCCCAACTCCTCACCTCTGCACTCCCTCCCCCTCAACCGCCGGCGACGCCAGCCCGCCGCCGGCCCGCCGCCCCCTGCCACCGCCGGCGACGCCAGCCCGCCGCCCCCTGCCGCCCCCTGCCGCCGCCCCCGTCGCCTCCCGCCGCCAGCCCGCCGCCCCCGTCGCCGCCCGTCGCCTGCCCCGTCGCCTCCCGTCGCCTGCCCCGTCGCCTCCCGTCGCCGCCCCGTCGCCTCCCGTCGCCGCCCCGTCGCCTCCAGCCGCGTGGAGAAGAAGGTAAGAAAAAAAAAAAAAAATTGCACGAACCGCGGTCACCGCGCGGTTGAGCCGACGGTCAACCGCGGTCAACGCGCGGTTGGACCTGCGGTCAACCGCGGTCAACGCGCGGTCCGACCAGCGGCTGACCGCGGTCAAAGAGCGGTTGACCGATGGGTAAACCGCGCTTTGACCGCGGTCAGCCGCTGGTCGGACCGCGCATTGACCGCGGTTGACCGCAGGTCCAACCGCGCGTTGACCGCGGTTGACCGTCGGTCAAACCGCGCGTTGACCGCGGTTCGGCTTTTTTTTTTAAAAATTCTGTTTTTTAAATTCTGTGTTTAATGTTAATAATAATAAAAAAAATTAAAAAAATATACATAATAAAAGAATTTAGTTATATTATTGATAAATACTAATTTAGTTATAATGATAATTAATAATAACGTATTCGATAAATGTTAATTTAGTTATAATTTAGTTATATAAAAAAAAATTAAAATCGTATTCGATAATTGTTATTTAAAGATAACAAATTTAAAGAACATTATAAAAAAATTAAAAATGTGTTTTTATCATTTTAATAATCAAAATTTCAAAGTAATTCGTTTATCTACTTAATTATTAATAATTTTACCTTGATTAAAAAGTAAATAATTATTACATAGAACGTAACATAAATGTTAAAACTATTAGTTTTATAATTTTAATTATGAAAATCTTAAATTAATTACTTTATGTACTCCATTATTAATAATTCAAACTTTTTTTTGAAGATGTCTTGGGCGACCGGGGCGGGGCTGTCCCCCATGCGGTTCATCAATGCCATCATTTTCAGGATGAAGATGGCTCCGGAGTAGGCCGATTGCACCTCGAATGGTCTCGTCGCCTCTATCAAGAACCTCCTGTACTAGACCTTGGAACACACCACGGTGGTAATCACTATGGTCATCCCACTCCGGCCGAGTAGGAGGTTCACGATAGTTGATAACGGTCCAGAATGGCAACACATCATACAAGGCGAAATCCCGATTTTCACGTCGTGCTAACTGAATGGAACATCTACATGGGAGACCATAGGTAGGAAGAAACGTACATGTACAAGGTTCCCCTTCCACTGCTACCTCGAACAACATCAACCTCAGAGCTTCTAGAGTGACTTTCGTATTCAACTCTCGAAATGGTTTTCCATCCGCTCGGAGCAGCTTCTTTTGTCGGGAATCCTCCAGCAGCTTCCTGATTTGAAGGTGTTGAGCCTCAATGTAATCATCGTTCTTCTTGTATACCTACAAACAATGAAGAACAATTAGGAAACTACTAAAACTTATGTGTGTATCAATAAAGATTTATTAGATTACTAACCGTGTCGACTGCGCCAGTAGATGATTGAAGCCACTTCTTGAAGGAGGAATGGGCAGCTTCAACCCTATTAGAGCTTGTGTTACCCAAATGCCGCAGTTGATTGGTATAACATTTAGCCCACATGTGTCTAACTGGTAACCACTCAGCTGTCATATACCCCCAAAGACGTCGGTACTGTACTCCCCAACCACGTCTGAAATTCTCTAAGGCAGTATCCATGTCTTCCACTGTCAATGCATATACAGCACGTTGCCAAGACGCCATGATCTGATCCACTGTCGGTTTGGCTGCATCTATACCACAATGAGTCGTCCTTCGCACCTCCGTTAGACACTTTGCTCTCACAATGGGGCCAAGAAGATGTTGCAAATGCGTCAGAAGCCACTGGTACGACTCCTTCGTCTCGTCGTACACTATTGCATATCATACTTGTTGGTCTTGTATGTTGCATCTATCACGATCACATGGTGCCAAGCTCGCAACATCAATATTGACTCGGGGTGGGCTAGGAACAAGTGTGTAAGCACGTTACGATCGTCCATATACTGCACATAGTAACCCTTCTCCTGCGCCATGCGGAAAGTATACTGTAAGGCTGTCATCTGACCAAGCTCTTCTTTCCTTATCTTGTGACACTCGTTATAAATCTGCTTTCTGTTGTGTGTTCCATTTGCACCTTTTCTGTCATTCACTGCCTTGTGGATATTCCTTGGTGGGACACCGGCTGATCTCAGCTCTCTGATGTATTGCTTGTCCTCTGTAGTCAAAACATTCCTTCCCTTTGATCCCTCCGGAAATAGCTCCAACTGATGATTGTGGAAACCCAAATTAGCACCAGGATTCTTTGTATTTGCCACCCCTAGGATCAACCAATATCCATCACCTGACCGCTCAAGCTTGATCTTAAACTCGCACCCCAACTTTTCAGTAGATGTAAGAGGCCTCGTTTCCTTACTCGGATCAGGTTCCTTCGACTTCTTCTTCCTACCATGAGTGCAATGTAAGTAATGTCGCCAAGTACCTTCATTCGTATTTTTTTTGTTCGATGCCCTCACCAAATAAAACCCAAAACCCTTTGCAATCTCAATGGCTGCTTCATATGCTTGCAACTCCGTAGTGTATTTCACGCCATCAATGAAATCCGAGGTGTAATCATGGCCATCCGGATTGTAACTTCCAATATCCTGCAATGTTATCAGTATTAAAATTAATAATCATCATAACTTCATATGCGAATCTATTATTTATGCAATAAATTTAATCTTAATTTGTAATGCAAAATCTAATCTTAATTTTCTAGATTAACACCAAATTAAATCTAATCTTAATTTAAGGCCAAATCTAATCTTAATTTCTAATGCTAATTCCTTCAATTCCAAAAATCTAATCAAAACCCAATAAATCTAATAAATTATATTAATCTTAATTTGTAATGCAAAATCTAATCTTAATTTTCTAGATTAACACCAAATTAAATCTAATCTTAATTTAAGGCCAAATCTAATCTTAATTTCTAATGCTAAATCCTTCAATTCCAAAAATCTAATCTTAATTTCTAATGCTAAATCCTTCAATTCCAAAAATAATTATGCAAATAAATCTAATAAATTATATAAATCAAAACCCAACAAATTATTTCATGGAACAATCATAAATCATATAAAAAAAAAATTATTCAACGAAAAAAAAAAAAAAAACCAAAAAATGCCCAACCGCAAGTGACCTGCGGTTTGACCATGGTCGGACCGCAAATCACCTGCGGTTAAGCCATTGGTGGACCGCAATTGACCTGCGGTTGGACCATGGCTGAACCGCAGGTGATTTGCGGTCCGACCATGGTCCAACCGCAGGTCAATTGCGGTCCACCAATGGCTCAACCGCAGGTGATTTGCGGTCCAGCCATGGTTCAACCGCAGGTCACTTGCGGTTGGACCATGGTCGGACCGCAAATCACCCGCGGTTCCCATTTTCTGTTTTTTTTTTTTTTTTTTGTTCATGTTCTTACCTCGTCGGAGTCGCTACTCATGATTCAGACGTCCTATCGACGATATCGGCTTCAAAATGACGATGAGAGATTTTTCTCTCCTTAGAGAGTGTTTTTTTAGTCCAAGTGATGTTTGTTTGAGGAAGGGAAGGTAAAGAAGCTATGGGGGTTAAAAGTGTAACTTTTATTCTTTTTAGGGCGACCTTTAGCAATTTTAAGGGCGACCTTTAGCAACTCCCTAAAACGGAGCCAAGTGCTGCCGCTGCGGGTCTATTTTGTTTTGTTCTGTTCCTTCTTTCCCCCCGCCTCCCGGTTCCTCTACTAAGTTTACTTCGTGGCAGGCAGCAGTGTCGACACGTGTGAAAACGTGGAGATCGGATGGTGTCGCGAGACGTGTGCCTTTTATGGCTTTATTATCCTTTCGCTTAGTGAGTAAGCTTACAGCCTACAGGGTCTATTGTTTTTGTAGTGGGGAGTGGGGACCTCGCCAATGGATCGCCTGTAGCCTGCAAGACGCTACTCCACATTGGATATGATATGAGGTGGCCCTTGATACTCTTGGATGATCCGAGCGGGTTTGTCTAAATTAGGGCTGGGAATCCGGAAACCGAATTCGCAATAACCCAATCCAATTATCGGTCGCTGGCTGTCTGGGAAAACCCGGCCCGGTCCGGTTTAAAATCGGAAAACTGTTTAAAACTGGATGGGCCGAGTAAGTTATAACTAATTGACTAGGCCCAACAAAATATTAACCAATTGACCAGGCCCAACAAAATATTACCCAACCCACCCACCCACTAAATCAATAACCCAACAAAATATTACCCATTACCCAACCCAACAGAAGACCTAATTGACGAAACCCTAATTGCCTAATGCAGATTGCAAATCCGTCGTTCCTCTTCCTCCCCTTCCATCTCCATCTGCGCAGCAGATTCTGAGGAACCGAGCTGCTGCCTGCCGCCTGGTTGCTCTCGCCTCTCGCTCTATCCCTCGGCGGCGACGACGACGAGGCAAACAGCGGGCGACGATCGACGAGCGACGAGTCGAACACGACGGCGCCATCATCTCCCTTCGATCTCCGTTCGCTCGAGAGCAGTCTCCCCCGTCTCGGCGTCTCCTGTACATCACCCTTCGAGGCTCGAGCGTCGATCTCCTGTACATCTCCCTTCGAGCGCCATCATCTACCAACTCTGCCCTTTCTCCCGTCGAGCATCGATCTCCTCCGTCACCAGACGCAATCGACGAGCCGACGACACCTCCAGATTCCCGCGAGCGCCGACGACCTTGGTGAGGTTTCCGGTCAAAACTGGACCAAACCGTATCTCATCCAATCCGGTTTGGTTTAAACCGTGTCCCAGTCCAATCCCGTCTACGGTTGGGCATAAGTCCAATCCGGTCGGAATAGGTTAGGGTGGTTACTCAATTTTGAGTAATCACGGTGGCTACCAACATCTATACCATTCATTATCTTTATTTTATTATGTTTTTAAATTAACGATTAAGATTAGCTAAGGATAATTTAGGAAATGAAAAACACACCACACCTGATTACTGTATATATTATACTCAAACCCTAATACAACCTATCTACCTAGCCGCCGTCTCTCCCTTCTCCCACCCCCGTCGGCGTCACTCCGCCGGCCAGATTCTCAAAAACCCAAACAAGCCATTCGCCAGATTCTCAAAAACCGTCTGCGTCAACGGAGCCTCCGGCTACATCGCCTCCTGGCTCGTCAAGCTCCTCCTCTCCCGCGGCTACACCGTCAGGGCCTCCGTTTGCGATCCAAGTCAGTTTCCTCATCATTTACCTCTCCATTTCGTCGCTCTTTTTCGTTTCCCCCCTTTCTCACCACCGCTCGCGGCGGTTTGTTTGTTCGCAGACGATCCGAGGAAGACCGAGCACCTCCGCGCGCTCGACGAAGCTTCCGAGCGGCTCCAGCTGTTCAAGGCGAACTTGCTCGAGGAAGGCTTGTTCGATTCCGTCGTCCAGGGCTGCGACGGCGTCTTCCACACCGCTTCGCCTTTCTACCACGACGTCCAGGATCCTCAGGTTAGATTTCTCTGCTTTCTGATTTTTCTTCTTCCTCCCTTTGGTGACTGTTAGGTTCGATCTTGTTGTTCTGTGGTAGACTGGTAGTTGAGTTTTTAGGTTATGCGCTGGAAAAGGTGGGATGAATAAAAATCCAAGATCTAATTTTTTTTCCGCATTGGTAGTGATTTTGCCCGAGTGGTAGTGTTTTCTTGCATTGGTATTGTTTTTGTCGCATTGGTATTGATTATCATGTAATGGTATTAATTTGCATGTATTGGTATGGATTCAATCTGCAATGGTATTGATTTTTTGTGAAATGGTATAGATTTATATTGGTAGATTGTTTATATTGGTAGTTTTCGTGTAATGGTATAGATTTATTTCTGCAATGGTATTGATATTTTTCAAAGTGGTAGTGATTATCTAATGGATTGGTAGTGATTTCGTGTTTTTTTTCTTTTGCAGAAAGATTGAGAAAAATAAGGAAAAGGGATCTGGCTGAAGATTATGGAAGTGAGAGAAAGAGGGAGAATTGTAATTAATAGATTCTTGTAACTACCTAAAATATAATTTATTAAAAAAATTAATTAATACAATTTATTTTTCATACCCAATTTACCCTTAGTAACCACGGTGATTACTACTTATGTAGTAATCACCGTAACCTGTCCCCAATCCGGTCATAAAAAACCGGCTCAATCCGGTCCGGTTTAAATCGAACCGGACTGTTTCCCAGCCCTAGTTTAAATCATGGTTGTCATGTCAGTGATATGTCGACTAGTTGAGTTTGGTTCAACATGTGCCAGTCATGAAATCGGCATGACACCATCGATATGAGTGGTATGATCGACTTACAAATTCTAAATAAAATAATATTATATTAATTAATAAAAAAGTTAATATTTTATTCATTTTATGAACTTAATAGTTAAATGTTGATGATATTTGTTGGATTGCAAGTAAATTGTCCACAAATATGTTTTATATATGATTAAATATATTGGATATTAACTGTTTTCACTTTTTTTTTTAAACCTGACATGAACCAACACAAACTGGTTATGCTACCGGCCGTACCATTCCACTTGCAAAACCGGCACAACGGTATAAATCGGTTTGACAACCTTGGTCTAAACTATCCCCATCTAAGAGTGGTAATCAATTTAATGGTTAACGGTATAACCGGTTACCGATAATATCGGTATACTGTGGCCAAAAGACGGCACCCAATATACCGAATTCTACCTGGTTAGTAACATGCAGTTAGCCGGTAAACCGCATACTGGAAAGTGGAAACCACCCTCACGTGTTGT